TGTGGGTGGTGGGGTGGCGGTGTCGCTAACTTTTGAAGCCTGTTACTTCTTCTTGACGGGAAGACAAGCAAAAACCAACCCTTCGGGATTTCACTGGCGCCGCCCCAGCAGGGGTCGGCGGATATGGCATCTGACAATTTCATCGCACAGTGACGACACCGCCATTAAGCATGTGATACACATCATACATGCAGATTGCAGGCAACCAGCCACCAGGGAAGTGGATCCCAAGAACAAAGCCCAAGCTGACTTCTTCCGCGACGAGCGGAAACGTGCCTCCAGAGCATTACAGAAGTGTTTTATGTGTTTTGAGGTGCTTTGCATGCAAACGGTAAGCTCACAGGCTGACCGAGGCCAGGGCACATTTCTGTTCAGAGCCTGCTCTTCGACCGAGGCCGTGATGCTTTTGTTCTCTCAATGAAGGCAGCAGGGTTCGAAGCATTGTGTGACGTCTTGGAAGTTTGATAGAGGTGTGTTGCTTGGGCTGCTTCCCCCCAGAGAAGGCTAGCGGCTATCTCCTCTTTGGGTATTGCATAGAACCGTGTCTTCTAGAAGACTGCCTGAATCCTCACTCAACTCTTTGTTGTGGCCAGTTGTCGAACAGCATGCCAGGAGCTCGCCGCAGCTGAGCGCTTCACCATGGGGACCAGCTGGGCGCAATTGGAGGAACACTTTGCTTACTCCAGACCTGACACTGTCAACAACTGGTCTGAGTCGGACGAAACACGTGGCACGTTTTACGCATGTAGGGTGTAGACACGAGGCAGACAGACAAATGCACCGTTCCTCTTCGTGCCCGAAGAGCGAGAAACGGAGAGGAGAGACAGAGGTAACGAGAGACGGGAAGTGTGCCCGAAAGACAACGAAGAAGGATTAAGTGTACCCAGCGCATGGACTCGCACAGGAGTGGAGGTGTGTTGCCGTTCCTCTTACATTGTGCCGAAGAAGCAGAGACACCGGGTTTACATCCAATCTAGTCGCGCTTCTCGCGCCCAAACCCTACGAACTCGGGTGCATTCTCACGCAGTCCCAGTCCTTTCCTTCATCTCCCAAGTAAACAAGCACGCAAGCAAGCAAAAGACGCGGACCTTTGAGTGTGTAGTGTGCATCCTGCAGTCCGAAAAGCGTGATGGCCACAGGGAAACAGAAGCAAACACGTCAATTGCAGGCGAATTCCGCAAGCGTTTATGCATTTTTGTCATTTCACTTGCAGGCTCGCTACATGTCCGAATCCGGCATTCAAACTTCTTTAGACCTTCTTTCCGTTCAGGAGATGCTTCAGGCTTCCGGGGATCAGCGCATTGCTGGGCTTCGCGAGGGCGAAGGCGCTGTGGCAATGGAGTGCCTCGACGGATTTTCGAGCGGCGCGCTTCGAGATGCTTCGCATACTTAAGAGAAGGACGTACGGACGGAGCTTGTGCTCTGAGGCTTTTTGATGAGTTCGTGGAGGAGCTCAAGCTCAAGGGCGCAGAGGTCTGGTAACAAAGCGTCTACGCAGCTTCAAGAGACAAGAAGTAGCAGCCGCAGGCTTACGCAGGCGTCGAACCCGCACCACCGCCTCCGGAGCCGATCGTGGTGGCCCGACTCGTTTTGAGGGAACGGCAAGAGGGCTATTGCATGTTTGTGCTTCATGTCATGCAGCTCTACCTATACTGAACCCCTGCCATCCGGCAGCCACACCGGGCGATTTCAGAGCCCAAGTCACTGCAGTTTGGGTTCAAGCCTGTGGGCTGCAGACTTGCACATCGGCCATGGGAAACATGATGGGAACCCTGGCTGCAGGAGGCTCTACTTTCGTCTCGTCCTAGGCAAGCGTTAAGTTGCAGCCTTTTCCGACAGATGGCCTAACGCACAGCCAGTTTAAGCCGACAACCTGAAGCACTCGTTTCATGTCCCTGCCTAGGTGCCGGCAAGCCCGAAGACGAGCACCAAAGAGCGGCAAGTGCGGCCAGACAGCAGCACAAAATATAATGCAATGGTCGGGCCCCGTACGTGTTTGGCGTCAAGAGGTTGCTTTCCCCCAGATTCCCTGCCCCGGGAATACCAGTAGGACAGTGAAGAATAAGTATGAGTAGCAGCAACCAGCAGAAACACTTGTATGTGCATGTTAACTTGGAGCATCTCCAGCGGAATCTAGCCCCGGATGGCCGCTTGACGTACCAGACATGATGCCTAAAAACTCCGGGTCGGACACGTCCAGAGCGTCGACGGAGGCTCCGCCGCTCCGCTGTCCTGTGCTCCCGGACCCGGAACCTTCGGAGCCAAGGCCAACCCACGCTGCGAACGCAGCACAGAGGAGCTGCTGCTTGCAGCCCCCAAGGCCGTCTTAGTTCAGCTACGTCTTGCATTGCGCGAAGTACTACGAAGTGGCACGTTGCGAGGTGGAGTTGCACGTGCACCTGGACGGTTCCTTCGATGCTGCAGTACTGTTCCGCGCAGCGCAGGCTCATTTAGAGGCCAGTGTGAGGGGTTCGCAAGGGCGCCCAACGAAGACTGCCATTCGGCTGATCAGCTCACATCCCCGCAAAGACCAGCAAAGAATAGCTACGGCTCAAGCTGCGACCAAGCGCATCTGCACCCCAGAATCTGTGCGGCTCCCTTTGGCACGATAACCTAAACCCGCAATTGCTCGCTCGAGCCGGGTAAGCCTGCAGCTTGGTGAGATTCGCTACTATTCTGCGACGGAGCGAGCAGGCTGGGGGCGGCCAAGGAGTTCTTCCCGCGCGATCGATTACAAGCATTTCACAGCTCCAATCCTCTCATCGACCAGCGTCGGTCCCAAGCGATTATACATTCTGGCTGTTTGCCGCTGGTGGCGGATGTTTTTGTCGAGGCGCTGCTATTGAAGGCCGGTGTGGTCAAGGACTCGAAGGACAACTGTCGCTCCATGCGGCATCCGAAGGCCGCACGGATGCCTGCGATTCCTGTTGGATGTCCGCTTAGACAAGAACTCACAGAACCACAATGGCAACACAGCACTACATTACTCACTACATTGGCCACTGTTACAGCTACTGAACTGCTTCCTCGGATTCGGATTCCACGGCCGCCGCAGTGCGTGGCGCGTTTTTAAAAAAATGGTTCACGGTCTGATGGCTTCGCCATGTACAATATAGGAGCCTTGCTTCCTGCATCAGACCGTGAACCATTTTGCCATGCTCTGCGGCGGGCGTGGAAGGCAGGGCGCGCTGCAAAGCCCTGCAAGAGCAGCTCCACGCACTCGCCGTATCATCGCCGCATGGATCGACCATGCCCAGGAGCTCTTGCTAAAGAGGGGACAGTGAAGGACAGTGACGGCAAGGTCAAGCTCGGCAAAAAAAACGACAAAGGCGCCTGCATCGACTTCTATAACTCGCCGGATCAAGTGAGACTTGAGCACCGCAGCATGTTTCTCTTGATCTTTTTGTCGATCCACTGAGGTACTTTGTCTGCTCCACCGTGACAGACTGCTCGAAACGCCTGCGACGTTCGGAGCTTGACCGGGGACCACGCGCATCTCCGCCAAGACGCGACGTGGTACCCCGAGGTGACTACACGGCAAGCTGCTGCTCTAGTCAATGTGCGCATGGATGACGAGAAGGAGCATTTGAACGTCATCCTTCAGTTAGCAAGTGGATCTCGCCTGTCGGCCTTCACAATGCCAGCCGTCTCCGCACAGAGCAAAACCGTGGCTGACTACGTCCACGCATCCTTTGCAGACAAGACGTTGACCACTTCCCACTGCAAGGTGGACAGGCCTCATCAAGGAAAGGGACTAGGCGGTCTGCTAACCGAAGCTGCCGAGAAGCGCGCTCGGAATCTGGGGGCTTCTATCTCGAAAGTGAAGTTGTGTGTGTTGGAGACGAACGACAAGGCCCGAAAGTTTTTTGCCAAGTCGGGCTTCCAAGGTCTGTGCCAAGTTTGCATCAAGCTTTCCGCCGTGCAACTGTAGTGATGGCGGCTGCCACTGTAATATTACAGTGGCAGCCGTCATCACTACGGCTGAAGATGTAGAAGCACGTCGCCTGAGAGCGTGCCCAGCAAAACATGTTGCTTATTCCTGTGTCTAGCACGCACTCGCACGAATGCACCCACGACTTGAAACTGCCAGCTCTTAAGCATGCGATGTGCTTGCTTCGGGCCACTGAAGCCGTGAAGGTTAAACTCCTCTTGGCCGTAAGCGCCGATAAGACTCATGCAAATCCCACGCCAGAAACCCTGCACAATTCCCAAGCACAAAACCTCCCAACAGCAAACCTGAACCCGCCCCCCTTCCCCTCCTGTCCTATTTCAACATCCCCCACCCTCTCCGACCTCAACCTTCAACCCTAGACCCTAAATCCGAATCACCAAAACTTGAACCTCAAACCCTAAACCCAAAATTTTGTATGGCCGCAATCGCGGATTCAGATATTCATGTAACCAAGGTGTACGCCTCGGCGATTTAAAAGTGAATGAAGTTGCTGCTGTTTTCTTCTGCAGTCCTCGGTTGGCTTTGCCGGGCTTTAAGTGGCAAAAAGATGCAAAAAGTAGGCCCAACAAGATGCAAACATACATCAATCCCATTCCGGGGTGAGAGGAACTCCCGGAGAAAGTGCGGACTCCATGGGATGGCAAGATGCTGGAAGTGCCTCGGGCAGGATGTTTACATTCCTTCTCCTTTCTCCGTTTCTTTACATAGGTGCGTGCAGAAGCAAACACAGCACCGGGAGTACATGGCCGAACGTGGCTGCTGAGTCCGAGGTGCAAAAGGCGGTGCGTGAATGTCATGGGGACCTGGCAAAGTTCACCTCTCTGGTCACCGACACTCGGCAGAGGATAATCATGGAGAACAGAGCGGGGGACGACGAACTCGCTGCACACAACCGCAGGCAGCGCTGCCGATATTTTCGTAAGGCTGCGAGCTTGACAAAGGCAGACTACCTGCCATTGTCAACTTGTTTGTACTAGACGCACAGACTGAAAACGCCAGTCGCCAGCAAGTCAGACATGTGACTTCTTTAGTGCAGGACTCAGTGCTGTTGATGCACCTTTCTATCCAATCTGCCGTGGCAACGCAATGCATTTCTACACTCCCTGCCGTGAATGTGCTGCGTTGTTTGAGTTACCCCTGTCAGACTTAAGCGACCACCTTCGCGCCTCCTCACAAGGGTGGTTGGGGAAGTGAGGTTGGGAGCGACATCATCGGCCTGTTTCCCATACTCGACTGCTTCTACACCTTCTTGCCCATTGTCCGTGGCCGGTTCGAGTTGCTCGAAGAACTGGCTTTCGAGTTCTGCCGCGAGCGGAAGAAACACAACATCATCTACACGGAAGTGAGGCCCAGATGTTCAGCAGCAGGGGTGCAATCTCTGCTTGCCTGTCACGGAGAATCAAGGTCGCAGCAGCTGTCGTAGCATGTCGTAGCAGTGCTGGATCCCTGGAGGTACTCTCCCTTTGAGTTCCTCCCGCAAGGGGAGGATGGACAGATTGCAGATACCTCGAAAGCAGCAGATGCAGTCAAGGCAATTCTCAAAGAGCTCTACGATGTTAAACTGAAAGGTTGGTTTGTCGCCACATCTCATGACCTCAGCCCGGTTCCCAGGCCGTGTGCGCAGGCCTGCGGAAGGGCGGGCTCCTGAGTACGACACCAGAACAGCATTGAAGCTTCCCACGCTAAGAGCCGTGGACGCCCATTGCAGCACATGTACCAAGGCCAAGCCGAGTTTGGGGTGATGGTTCACCAGATCCTGTGCTGCATTGCAGCACAACCGGCATGGTCTGCCCAGACGATGGTACTTGCGGAGGACGATGCTGATGGATACAGGTTCCAAGCTTTTCGCTAGCTGTGTGCCTCCATGCGGTCCCCCAGCCATCCGAACTGTGTGTTTTGCCTCAGGAGTTCAGGAACGAGGGTGTGGTTGGAGTAGACATCGCAGCTGGCGAGATGCATTTCGAGGCTTGCACGAGTCCAAAGAGGGCATGCATTTCTTGTCCCTTTTGTTCCTCCTTTGGTCCACTTTTTGGTTTGCCGTAGTCCCTATCCCAAAGTCCGGCTCCGGTCTCCTGCTCCCACCATCGCCTACTGGGGGGGTCAGATTGAAGATCGCCTAACGAGGGGCGAGTTTCAGATATGAGATCAACCACCATCGCCTAACGAGGGATCGACTTTGCTCAATGGGAGCAACCGCCATTGCCAAAAGAGGGCTCGGGTATTGCAATATGGGATTGCTCAACCGCGATTGCCTAGTGCGCGGGTAGGTTTATTTACAAAACGGGATAAACATCCATCGCCGAAGGCTGAGTCGAGCTTAGGATGTGGGATAAACGGCCACTGCGCAAGTAGGTGCGAGTTCATGACATGGAATCAACCACCATCCCCAGACCATCCTCAATGAGGGCAGTTTCGACATGAGATCAACCACCATCGCCTGCGGAGGGGGCGGTTTGCGAAGTGAGATCAGTGTCCGTCGTCTTGTCAGGTTTACGATGTAGAAGAGTCAACTGCCAATCTTCTAAAGAGGCATCGGCTTTACGAAATGGGTGAAATCGACATCGCCTGATGTGGGGGTCTTGTTAAAGATATCAGCCCTACTCGCCGAATGAAGGGGAGTAAGATCGACTGCCCTCGCCACTAGGACGACGACGGTTACTAACACGACTACCGACTACCACTACACAAGCTCAAGAGCAGCAGTAGGACTACGACTACGCCTACAACAACGACAACAACAGCCACTCCTACTCGTACTCCTCTTCCTCCACCTCGCCCTACCACTGCCACCGGCAGCACCACCACGACCAACGACCACAACTGCCACTACCACTACTACCACTACTACCACTACTACCACTACTACCACTACCACTTTCGTTAACGCTTTACGCCGCCCTGACACTTCGCGCCTTGAAACCTCGACCTTTTTCATTGAGAAATGCCATGCCTTATTTAATCACGATTTGTCCTGATTTGTCTGAATTCGACTTCATTTGTTGTTTGTCACGTGTCTCCATTTTAGCCTTTCCGACGCCAGATTAGTTGTCTTGATCTAAGGCTACCCGAACCCCTGCGGCCCAGTGTAGGACTGGACTCGACGACACAACAATCGACGACAACGACAACAACAACAGCAGCCAAAACACTGCCCCTGAGCATATGCGGCGCGAGCCTCAATATCGCACGCCCGCACCGAAAATTGCACACCCACGACCACTAAACCATCCAAAACTGCTACGAACTGCCGCTGCTGCTGCTACGGCTGCTGCTACTACGACCACCACCACCACCACCACGACGACTACTACTACCACCACTACCACTACCACTACCACTAACACCACCACCACCACCACC